AATGGCGCAAATTGACTCGGAGATCGCCGAGTGCAAACAGCAGATCGAATTCCTGAAGGTCGACAAGGCTCAATTGGAAGACGAGCGTCGCGAGGCTTCTAAAGCTCTCGCGCAGGTTGAGCTGCAGGCCAAGTCTCTGTCCGACAACCAGGCTGCCGCTCTGGCGCTCAAGGCACGTCACGATGAAGATCTCAAGACCGTGCAGGAGGCAATCCAGGAGCGTGAGGCAGAATTGCACGAGCTTCTACCCCAGTTCAACGCTGCCAAGGATCAGGAGGAGACTGTCAAGGCCAAGCTCACCGAAGCAGAGACGGCACGCCAACGGCTGTATGCTAAGCAAGGTCGCAACTCCCGTTTCCGCAACAAGAGTGAGCGCGACAAGTGGCTCCAGACAGAGATCAAGGAGAATTATGCTTCCATTTCCTCAGTCCAGGACGTCATGGCGCAGACGCAGGAGGATATCAAGGAGCTTGAGAATGAGATTGCGCTTCTCGAGCCGGAGACTGAGCGCTTGCGCAAGATGATTGATGGCAGAGGAGACACTATGCAGTCCGTGGAACAGCTGGTTCAATCCGCCAAGGATGAGAGGGACCGTTTGATGGACCAGCGAAAGGAGCTGTGGAGAGAAGAAGCCAAGCTGGACTCGATTCTGTCGAACGCCTCGAACGAAGTGGAGCGCGCGGAACGCAATCTATCTCAGATGATGGACCACAACACAAGCCGCGGTATTGCGGCCGTCAGACGGATCAAGCGCCAGTACAATCTTGAGGGAGTATACGGTACCTTGGCGGAACTCTTCGAGGTCAGTGATCGATATCGGACCTCCGTCGAAGTCACAGCGGGTCAAAGTCTCTTCCACTATGTTGTCGATACCGACGAGACTGCCACGAAAGTCTTGGAAATCCTCCAGCAGGAGAAGGCTGGCCGAGTCACATTCATGCCTTTGAACAGGCTACGAACCAGACCCATCAACATGCCCAGAGCAAGCGACACGATCCCCATGATTGAGAAACTCCAGTTTGATGCGAAATACGAGAAAGCTTTCAACCACGTCTTTGGCAAGACCATCATCTGCCCGAACCTGCAGGTGGCTTCACAGTATGCCCGCAGCCACGGAGTCAATGCGATTACGCCGGAGGGGGATCGTTCTGACAAGAGAGGTGCCCTTACTGGTGGTTTTCACGATTCGCGGCAGTCAAGACTCGATGCCGTGAAGAACTTGACAAAGTGGAGAGATGAGTATGAGAACAAGAAGAGCCGCGGGACCGAGATCCGAAAAGAATTGGAGCAGCTTGACCAGCTCATCACGAAGTCCGTAGGCGAACTGCAGAAATTGGAACAACAGAGACACCAGGTGCAGAACAGCAGCGGGCCGATGCGACAAGAGCTGAAGGCCAAGCGCGATCTTCTCCAGAAGAAGACCGACAACCTGGAAGCCAAACGCCGGGCTATCCGCAACATTGAGAACAATTTGGCTGCCTTGTCTGATCAAGTCAGTGCTTTCGAGGCAGAACTGAAATCACCGTTCCAGAAGGCGCTCAGTAACGAGGAAGAAGCACGCTTAGAGACCCTCAACAACACTGCGCAAGAGTTGCGACGTCAATACCAAGAGCTGTCCAGTCAGCGTAGTGAGCTCGAGGCTCGTAAGTCGGTTCTTGAGGTGGAATTGCGGGAGAACCTTAACCCTCGGTTGGATCAGCTCATCGGCCAGGATATGGATATGGCCGACGACGATGGGCAAGGCAACCTAAAGGAGACACAGCGGGAGATGAAGCGCCTGCACAAGGCCCTGGAGAAGCTTGCTCAACGACTGCAGCAGGTGGATGACTCGATCGACCAGGCTACTGCTCGTGTTTCCGAGCTCGAGCAGCGGAACGCCGAGACTCGCCGTGAACTCGAAGAACTGGCCAAGTCCATCGAGAAACACCAGCGTCGCATGGAGAAGAGCATGCAGAAGAAGGCGGCTTTGACCAAACAGGCGGCTGAATGTGCTGCCAACATCCGCGACCTGGGTGTGCTACCGGATGAAGCGTTCAGCAAGTACAAGAACACGGATTCGAACACGGTGGTCAAGAAACTGCACAAGGTCAACGAAAGCCTCAAGAAGTACTCTCACGTAAACAAGAAGGCCTTTGAGCAGTACAACAGCTTCACCAAGCAACGTGAAACGCTGACGAGCCGAAGAGAGGAGCTCGAGGCATCCGAAAAGTCCATCGACGATCTGATCACCGTCCTCGACCAGCGCAAGGACGAGGCCATCGAGCGTACCTTCAAGCAGGTTTCGCGCGAGTTTCACAATGTCTTCGAGAAGCTTGTCCCGGCTGGCCGTGGGCGCCTGATCATCCAGCGCAAGACGGACCGCGCTCTCCGCCAGCCCGACGACCTGGAGTCCGAGGACGAGGAGAACCGCGAAAGCGTGGAAAACTACATTGGGGTTGGCATCAGCGTCAGCTTCAACAGCAAGCACGATGACCAGCAGCGGATCCAGCAGCTCAGTGGTGGACAGAAGAGTAAGGCCCTCTATCTCTAATACCGTTTTCTTTGCCAGTCGGCTAACCCTCTCCACTAACAGGTTTGTGTGCTCTCGCCCTGGTTTTCGCGATCCAGGCCTGTGACCCGGCCCCCTTCTACCTCTTCGACGAGATCGACGCCAATCTCGACGCCCAGTACCGGACGGCCGTCGCGCAGATGCTCAAGTCCATCTCGGACTCCACCAACGGCCAGTTCATCTGCACGACCTTCCGGCCGGAGATGTTGCATGTGGCCGAGAAGTGCTACGGCGTCAGCTTCCGGCAAAAGGCCAGTACGATCGACGTGGTGTCGAGGGAAGAGGCGTTGAAGTTTGTGGAAGAGCAAAAGACATGATCAGTAGGGTGGGGTGTTGGTTTCCGGAATGGGTTTATTTTCAAGGGAGCAGGCGCATTTGCTGGATTTTTCTTATTGTGGCAGTGGCAGTGACACTATTTACATAGTTTGATGTAGAGGGAGCATTGATTATTTCCTCGACGATGTCATCTTCCTTTGTTTCGGTTGTTGTATTGTCTAAGCTCGTCGCTTATGTATGCTTTGTTTAGAGATGTACGATTCCCAATGCTATGTAGGTTCGGTCGAGGATTTTCCATTAGTGGTTCCAGCTGGGGTATGCGCCAAACGCGACAAATCGTTTACTTTACTGGCAGTACATACCGATGGCATGGATATATATCTTCTATATGCATATTGCCCTTCCACCCCCCTCCCCCCTTCCATTACCCATGGAGGACAAATATCAATGCTGCGGCGGCCCCTCCCCCGTCCACTCCAACAAGATCGTCTCCGGCACATCCCGCACCAGGACATGGATATGCTCGAGACTGCGCACACTCTGCAGAGCGGTCCAATTCTTGAACCAGAGCACACGGTCGCGCGGCGAATCCGGGAATAGCCCCGCGCCGCCGCCGCGCTGCTCCGCCGCCAACCGGCCCACGAACGTGCGCAGCACGAACCCCTCGATCAGCGCGCGCGACTCGGGCGTCAGATCCCCGTCGTCCGGGTTCACGGCCACGGGCGTGCGGAGCCAGACGACCAGGTGCGTGATCCCCGGGCTCAGGCCGTAGGGCCAGTCGTTCCGCAGGATCTTGTAGTCGGCGGGGTCGGCGAAGGGGGTCGGGTTGTTGTAGGGGAAGACCGGGCCGCTGTCTGCTGCGGTAGGCGTTGGTCCTGGCTTGTTGTTGTTGTTGTTGTTGTTGTTGTTGTTGGTGGTGGTGGTGGTGTTAGTGGCGGGGATGGTGCTGGTGTCCGGCAGCGCCCAGTGCAGTCGCTCCTGGCAGATGTAGTTGGTGATAGAGCCGTATTTTTGTTTTGTGGAGGCGGACCACGACAGGTAGCGGTGCAGGTCGGAGGGTTTCCGCTTGAGGATGCCGAGATCGTTGCGCGCTTTGGGGTTTGCCGAGGGCCGTTTGAGTTAGTGGTTGGTGGTTACTTGTTCCGGGGGAGGGAAATGCGGAATTGGCGGGATTGTGGTTGGGGGAGAGGGGATTAGGGGGGAGAGGGGAACGGAATGAGGGGTAGTAGTAGGATTTGATAGGGATGGTGATAGAGAGTAAAAAATGCGATCTCTAGATATCAGAGAATGCACACACCTATGATGGATTTGAGATCCTCCCAGTCGTGGAGTTTAAATTCTTCATCAGTCTGCGCGAGGACCTGACGATCGACCTCGGTTAGGTTGAATGCTGGGGGCTCTTCGGCCGGGTTGGTGTCGATCGTCATGGCTGGAAGAGGATGTCTGATTTGGAAATGGAGGGGAGAGGGGGGAGAGGGGAAGAAATCTATGAATATGGAGTATGGGGTATGGAACTAAAGGAGAATGGCGAAAGAAGAATGGAGATCGGAATTGTTGAACAAGATAGGGAAAATCAGGGTCGGAGCTTGAAGGTGGCGTGAGGGGGAGATGGATCTACTGAGTAAGAACTGGAACGGGTTTCTTTACCCCAAGTGAAGAAGAGGGAAAAGGAATCCCCAATAGGGCTGGATTTCGCGCTGGCCTGGGAGTGTGTTGTTCACAACAGCTCAATAGACGTATTGTTTAACCTGTACAAGTCGACAAATTCGATTATTTCAATGTAATGTATTATACCCTGTATAGTTAAACTCAATAGAAAGGTATTATTCTCTTGTGTTGGAGTTCTGTACATGTTTTGTATATCTGCTCTTCATCTAAGTTATTTTTCTTGCAGTAAACATATTCAACAGACTTCAAGGAGGTTATCGAGTTAACTTATCGTTTATCGATAAGCAGCCGATCCGGAACCCATTGAATTACCCAATCGGGAATTCCCCCCTCCCGTGACTTGGGATTGCCGCTGTTTTTACCGTCACAAAACATTGAGTCTCCTCTTGCCGGCTGTCCCTTTACCGACTCACCTTTATTTCTGACTTTCCTCCTCCTCCGCCTCTTCTTCCTTCCCCCCATCCCTCCTCCTCCCTCCTTCCTCCCTCCTTCCTCCCCCCCTCCCATTCGGTTGTCACTTTATTCTCAACTTATCGGAGGAGCCGCCATTATGAGGTTTGTGGCCTTCAAGCATTTTCTCCACAATGCGCATGCCATTGGCGACAGACAGAAACTAATCTTGACCAGTTCTTTCTCGGCCCTTGTTCCCTTCGCGGTCGCGTTGGCTGCTGTTTTCCTCGGCTGGAAGCTGTTCAGCAACAGTGCGTTCATCACTACAAGCTTATTCGATTTGACTTGAATGATCAAGTTGCTGACCCGACACCGCATTCTCCAGAGCAGCGCAAGGTCCTAAACCCCACTGAGTTCCAGCACTTCACCCTGAAGGCAAAGACCGACATCTCCCACAATGTGACCATCTACCGTTTCGCTCTCCCCCGCCCCACCGATATCCTGGGTCTGCCCATCGGCCAGCACATCTCTCTCGCTGCCAACATTGAGGGTCAGCCCAAGGAGGTTGTCCGCTCCTACACCCCCATCTCCTCCGACAACGAGGCCGGCTACTTCGATCTCCTGGTCAAGGCTTACCCCCAGGGTAACATCTCCAAGTACTTGACTACCCTGCAGGTCGGTCAGACCATGAAGGTCCGCGGCCCCAAGGGTGCCATGGTCTACACTCCCAACATGTGCCGTCACATTGGTATGATCGCTGGAGGTACCGGTATCACTCCCATGTACCAGATCATCAAGGCTATTGTCCGCAACCGCCCGCGCAACGGTGGCAACGACAACACCCAGGTCGACCTCATCTTCGCCAACGTTAACCCTGATGACATCCTCATGAAGGACGAGCTGGAGCAGCTGGCCAAGGAGGACGACCGTTTCCGCATCTACTACGTCCTCAACAACCCCCCCGAGGGCTGGACCGGTGGCGTTGGTTTCGTCACCCCCGATATGATCAAGGTTCGTTGCACCCGTCGGTCGATCCAATTCGGTTCACGTGCTCACAACACTTCTTTGACTACAGGAACGCCTCCCTGCCCCTGCCAGCGACATCAAGATCCTCCTCTGCGGTCCTCCTCCCATGGTCAGCGCCATGAAGAAGGCCACCGAGTCTCTTGGTTACACCAAGGCTCGCCCCGTCAGCAAGCTCGAGGACCAGGTCTTCTGCTTCTAAGCGGTTCGCGCCTGGGTTGCAGTGTCTTGTATTCGTCTCGCGATCGGCTGGACCGGTGCCTGAGTGCCGGTACCTCCACACGCTATAGATATGATAGAACGTTACATCATGAAAGGTTGTATCATTGGTTATCTTGGGGTTGCAGATCTACGGTGTTATGAGTGAATGCGCAAAAGCGAAATCTACCTAAAACGAAACGATATTGACGGGGCCAATTTGCACTTGGTCTTTCAAACGATATGATCTTATCATAAATTCTCTGTGCACGGGTATAGACATTATGAGTGGTATTAAGTTCTCTGGCTAGACTTACTCCTGTACTTCGATCATGGCTTTCACCATGGTCAGAAACTTCTTCCTGTACTCATCTGGCGTGGTTGTAATGGTCATTGGGCCCTGGCGCCCAATTACATTGAAGGTCTGAATCACTCCTGTCATGGCCTGAGCATGCAGCTTGTGCCTGGCCCAGAAGAAATCCAGGATGACGGCGCGGTACTTCCACTTCCCATCGGCGGATTCGAGCCCAATCCGCCACGAAACGGGTCTCCCGACGATATCCGGCGTCGAGGAGGCCGGGAAGCGGACCAGATACAGCGAGTAGTCCACCGCGTTGGCGTCCTCGAGGAACTGCGTGTCGGCCTCGACGGTCTGCATCAGGGCGACATACGCCGACTGGTTTATGCGGACCTTGTCATCGAAATTGTCGGCGATCTTGCTCAAGGTGGCCTTGCTGACCAGCGGGTCGGGCACCAGATCCCGCTCGGGGAAGAAATAGTCAACCGGCTTCAGGTCGTAGGTCTCCCACCGATCCCCCGCGGGATCCGTATCCCGGCCGCAGAGCAGGTTCTCCATGATGATGTGGTGGGCGGGGGTGGTACCGACTAGATTCCCGATCGTCCAGTACGGCGAGTAGACGTAGTCGGTGATCCACACCAGCAGGGACTCCGGATGCTCCGTCATGTACCTGTAGTACGGATCGAGCAGTTCCTCGCGGAAGAAGGAATGTTCGAAATGTCGCGGCAGGCTTTTGACCAGAAAGCGGGAGTTGGAGGTGCTGAAGAAGGTCTGATTGCGATTGCGGCAGCACACGTAAAAGTTAGCCTTACGCATCGAAAGCAGAGACACTAAGACCAGAATTCAGAAGGGGGGGGGAGAAGCGCAGACCGATCCCGAGAGACCCAGGTCGCCCATCGGCTTCAAGGGCACAGTCTTCTTGCTATCATTGCGGAAGCTGGCCTTGTACTCTTCCTCGTCGATCTGCCAGACCTCGCTGCGCAGCTTCTGGAATTGCACGTGGCCGTACCGGATGAGTTTGATGTAGAAGATGGTGAAGAAGGCGAGGAATCGGCCGACGACCGTCTTGCGGAAGCTGGCTGGGTCGCGGAAGATCGCGCGCTGGATGGACTTGGACAGGGCCGCGTGGCGGCTGTTACCCATTTTGGTGGCGCGGGTTGTGGGCTGAAGTGTTGTGGGAGAGGGGGTTGGGATGGTGACAGTGCATCATGAGGTGGTCGAGTGGTCAGTACAAGTGAAATCGTGTTGATGAACTCGCAGTCGAACAGGTGACCATGGGGAAGGCCGCTGCGCTGAAGGAGTGACGTCAGGAGAGGCTATACTGACTTGGGCTATGACAGGAGTAGGGCTTCCCCAAGGGCTGGCGAAAGTCACGTGAACTGTGATCAGTCATGTGACAAATGATCAATTCATTCACCGCCCATGGCAGAATGGTGGACTGCCTGCCGCATTGAGTCAGTCAATGAGCGAAAAAAAAAAGAGAAAAAAAAAAAAAAAAAAGAGTTCCCCTCTCTGAATTAATCTTGTTGTATGGCTGAGGCGTGTTCCAGTTGGTGCTTTTCCCTCCCTCAGCTCCCACCTTCCCTTCCCTTTTCCCTTTCCTTCCCCTCCATTGATGGGTCGCCTTCTGGTAAGCGGGGCCCGGCGATTTTCTAACGCCGTTTTCAAGACTGCTTCCGCCCAGTCATACTGTCCACAAAAGAGTCGTCGCTTCTTCCTTTCCTCCTCTTCCTTTCAATTAACCTCTCCCTGGCGTTCCTCTTTTGCTACTGCGACGCATCAGAAGAACGTAGCTGCCGTCATGTCTTCCTCCGCTGCCGACCTCGTCTCCTCCGTTGAGGGACTCTCTCTCCAGTCCACCACCGAGACCTCCAAGTTCCCCAACTGCTACCCCTCCTTGAACGTCGTCGATGTCTACAGAGAGCACATCGCTGAGAAGCTGAGCGCTGCCACTGACATTGACGCCGAGAAGATCTACTCTCGCCTGTCATGGACGAACTCCCTCGACAAGGGTGACTTGGTGTTGCCGGTATGCGATATACACCACAAACGTTTCACCTTGGGCTCCAATAACTTTTGGGCTGCCAAGGCTCTTCTGCGACAAACAAACTAACATAGTGTCACGCACTGTAGGTCGCCGCTCTTCAGATCAAGAAGAACCCCCAGGAGCTTTGCAAGGAACTCGCCGAGAAGTTCCCCGAATCCGACCTCGTCCTCCCCCCCGTCCCCTTCGGAGTCCACCTTCAATTCTTCTTCAAGCCGGAAATCCTCACCTCCGATGTCATCAACCGCATTCTCAAGCAGAAGTCCGCCTATGGTACCAACGGTAACCAGGGACTCCGCGACGCCGCCGATCCCTCCAAGGGGCGCAAGAGAATCATCGTCGAGTTCTCCTCGCCCAACATTGCGAAGCCTTTCCACGCGGGTCACCTGCGCAGTACGATCATCGGTGGCTTCCTGGCCAACCTCTACACCGTCATGGGATGGGATGTGATCAAGATGAACTACCTCGGTGACTGGGGTAAGCAGTACGGTCTGCTGGCCAACGGTTTTAAGCAGTTCGGTAACGAGGAGCAATTGACCAAGGACCCCATCAACCACCTGTTCGACGTCTACGTCAAGATCAACAACATCGTCTCCCAGCAAGAGGCGCCTATCAAGGAGCTCAAGGAACAGATCAAGGCCAAGAAGGAGAAGGGCGAGGATGTGGCGGAGCTGGAGCAGGAGCTGCAGAAGCTCGTTGATGCCAGTGAGGACGAGAGTGCCCGTCGCTACTTCAAGAGCATGGAGGACGGCGACCCCGAGGCCCTCGCTCTGTGGCGCCGCTTCCGTGACCTCAGTATCAAGAAGTACGAGCAGACCTACGCTCGTCTCAACATCGAGTTCGACGTCTACTCCGGCGAGTCTCAGATCAAGCAGGAGAGCATGACCGCCGCTTACCAGACCCTGGAGAAGACCGGTGTTTCCGAGAAGTCCGAGGGCGCTGTCATCGTCGACTTCACCAAGCACGGTGCCAAGAAGCTCGGCAAGGCTATCATTGTCCGCAAGGACGGCACGCCCCTCTACCTGACCCGTGATATCGGCGCCATCACCGAGCGTGCGGAGAAGTACAACTTCGACAAGATGATCTACGTTGTTGCCGCTCAGCAGGATCTACACTTGGCTCAACTGTTCAAGATCACCGAGCTGATGGGCCACAAGGACTTGGCCAACCGCTGCCAGCACATCAACTTCGGTATGGTCCGTGGTATGAGCACCCGTAAGGGCACTGTCAAGTTCTTGGACGATATCCTCCGTGATGTGGGTGACAAGATGCACGAGGTCATGAGGAAGAACGAGGAGAAGTACAAGCAGGTCGAGAACCCCGAGGAGACCGCCGACATTCTGGGCATTACCTCCGTCATGGTCCAGGACATGACTGGCAAGCGGTATGTGTTTCTTCCCTAATTGACGTGTAGTTTTACTCATTGGCAACAGGATCAACGGCTACGACTTCAACCTGGATGCCATGACCTCCTTCGAGGGTGACACTGGTCCTTACCTCCAGTACGCCCACGCCCGTCTGTGCTCCATTGTCCGCAAGTCCGGCCTCAACGTCGAGGAGCTCGGCGACGCCGATCTCAGCCTGCTCAAGGAGCCCCACGCCATCGACCTCGCCCGCCAGCTCGCCCAGTGGCCCGATGTCCTGCTCAACACCACCAAGACCCTGGAACCCACCACCATCCTCACCTACCTCTTCCGCATGACCCACGTCCTGAGCTCCAGCTATGATGTCCTGAAGGTCGTCGGTAGCGAGCCCGAGCTCAAGAAGGCCCGTATGGCGTTGTACGAGTCTGCCCGCCAGGTTCTTCACAACGGCATGCGGGTTGTCGGTCTGAGCCCCGTCAACCGGTCTGTTTTCCCCCCATCTCGGCTTCGTCCAAGATAACGTGCCCCAAATAACACGTCGTCCAAAATAATGTATTCTAACGTTTTATCTTCATTCTAGTATGTAAACGGACGCGACGAGGAAATGAAATAAAAAGTCATACTAGAATCTTGAATAGCTCTTTTTGTTATATGTTATGAATACCTAGCATTGGATCCAGCCTTCTCTTTTTTCCAACTTACTCGGACTTTTTTGGAGATTGAAATAGGAGAAAGGACTTCTTCATCGAATATAGATGCAGTAAAATGTTACTCTTTTTCCATTCCTAGAATCTGATTACCGACTGTCTAAGCAGTCCTACTTCCTCTACACCATAACCCATATACCAGGATGCCAGGATATCAGTCAATCCCCATCTACCAAACTCATCCCATCCCACCCATCTCATACCAGGTAAAACCAACCTTCATCGCAAATCCAAATACAACTAGCCCCCATCCCAAACAAAAACAAACCCTATAAAAAAGAAAGATAACCAACCCGCCCCTCGAGAAGACCGCCGTCCTCACGCCCTCCCCACCCTTCCATCCCCGAACCCACCCCGTTGCGCAGACCCCCAAGCCCAGCAAGCACGATCCAAACAGACGCCAGCAGGGTTGGGTATCAGTTCTGGTAGCCCTCACCCATCAGAGGCATGGTCGGCAATGTCGGACGCTGCTGGGTGTTCGAAATTGCCAATCATGTCTTTTGTCCCCTTACCTCAGCTTTATGGGGCGGCGAGATTGCGGGGTCGAGTCTTATTTGTGGCATATTGTTTCTTTTGCGCAGTTTCTCTTTCCATTTGAGAGGGGGGTTGAGGTCGGGGTTATTGCGGTGGGCTTGGGGGAGGAGGAGGGGGTTACGGTGGTGTGGGGGTAATGTGTTGGGTATGCGATTTACGGAAATGCGGAGGTTTAAGATGGAAGTAGATGGTGAGATGGGGTTCTTGATGGAGGGAGAGGGGGCTTCTTTGCTTTTTTCTTCGGGTTGGAGGGGGTTTGGACGTGCGGGTGGTGCTGGTATTCAGTGTGATATCAGGGTTTGGGGATCCGGTCGTGGGAATGGCGGTTGGGGTGAGGCAGGTACCTTAACTTATTTGCTGAGTTGTTGATCGTGAGTATGAGATTCAAAGCTGATAGAGCTTGGTGATGCCCTCATTTATACATTTTCTGTAGAT